CTCCCAGAGCCGGGGAGAGAACCCAGGCGTCCTGGCTCCCAGCCCCCCCCTGCTCTAACCACCAGCCCCCACTCCCCTCCCAGAGCCGGGGAGAGAACCCAGGAGTCCTGGTTCCCAGCCCCCCCTGCTCTAACCCACCAGCCCCCACTGCCCTCCCCCAGCCAGGGACAGAACCCAGGAGTCCTGGCTCCCAGAAACCCCTGCTCCCCAGCTCTGGGAGGGGAGTGGGGGCTGGTGGTTAGAGCAGGGGGGGTGGGAGCCCGGAATCCTGGGTTCTCTCCCCGGCTCTGGAAGGGGAGTGGGGGCTGGTGGTTAGAGCAGGGGGGGGCTGGGAGCCAGGACGCCTGGGTTCTCTCCCCAGCTCCCACTCAGTCCAGTCCCCTCCCCTCCGTATAAGCGGCCAGGCGGGCAATGCTCCGGCGGCTGGCGACTCGGGGCACGAGGGCCCAGCCGGGAAGCCTTCGACGGGGCCCACCAGGCCCGAGCGGCAGCGAAGACAAGTCTGGCGTGTGTGTAATCGATGGGCGTTCCTCGCCGCGTGTGGTTTCTTTCCAGCGCCTGGCTCTGTGCCTTTAAATCCTCCCCCCATTGTTCCCATCTGTTGTGGTTTGAAGCATTTTATCCCAGAGCAGGAGGAATTTTTTTCCCCTTACCATGTGCAGGCAGGGAAAGAAGCCGTGGGCTGGAGTTAGCAGCAGATTTCAGAGAAGGTTTCCCCCCCTCTCCCTGGGAGAAAACCCCCTGGCCTCCCAGAGGTGGAGTTCCCTGCTTCAAATAGCCAGCCAGTCTGATTTCCAAGAAACGGCCGAACGTCCAGGTTGGCTCTTTTGTTAGACAATAACCCCTCGGAAACGACAGGCTCTGCTGAGCAAGGCCCCGGCCCTTACAGCTGGGTCCGACACCTAGTTTTAAACCAACACAGTGGAGCTCACACCTGGTTTGGAACTTAGGAACCGGAGCTCACACCTGGTTTGAAACCAAGAAACCCCAGTTGACAATTGGTCTGATGCTTTCGAAGGCAGAGCTCAGAGTCTACGAGTGAACTGAAACCAAACATCAGCCTTTACGGCTCGTTTGTGACTTGGGACTTTACAACCAGACTAAGGCTTACGAGGCAAGAAATCCCGACTGGTTTGAAACGTAGGACGCCAGCAATCGGCGTTCATGACTGGGAAGCGCCCGGAGCTGAAAACGGGAGTTTCAAGGCACGAAACAAGAATTCGGAGCTGCCAGCCGGTTTTGATCTTCCTTCCAAGCGACGGAAAATAAATCAGCGCCCGACTCCAAAAAGGGGTGAAGCCCGGCTCGCAGCTAGCGACCTCTCCCTGGAGGAGATGGGTGGTTACCACTGATGTGAAACCGCCAAAGAATTTCCGAGGCAGGAGTCGGCCGTCCGGGCGCTGTGGCCCGTTCTCCGGGGCAGCGAGCGAGACCCGCTTGTGGAGTCGAGGAGGAGGTTGCATCTGGCTGGGAACGGTTTCCAGCGCAGCCCACACGAAATCAGCGCTTGGCAACCGACGAAACCCTCCCGGGAGCGAAGAGGTCGGGGTTTGGCAAAACCAGAGCTGGGGAAGTGGCTGCCTCTTGCCACGGCTGCAGCGCGGCCCCCCGGCCCCGGAGGAACCCCTGGAGTTTGTTTTGGACGCGGGCCGCCCGAGGCCTTGCTGCGTGGCTCAGCCGGCGTGGATGGAAATCTCCCGTGGGCTGGCTGTTTCCCCCCACTCCTCGCTCGGGGTTCGTGGGCGGAGACGGGGGTAGCGGATTTTGCGGCAAGCCAGGCACCCCACCCCAGCCTTGGAGAAAACAGCCCCCCAGCCGTCGCCATGGCTCCAGCCCCGCGCTGACGGGGGAGCAGGCGCCTGCGCCCCCCCGGCCAAGGAGACTCGCCCTCCGCTCTCTTGCCAGCCTCCGGGTGGGGATCGGCCGCCCCTGGCTGACGATGTGGCCCGAGCTCCCCGGGGCTCGGGGGGGCCTGGGACCGGCTCTTGGGGGGCATTGAGGCCCGGAGAGGGGGGAGGGAGGGGTGCAGACATGCAGAGGGCCAGTATGATCGGGATCCCCAGCCTGGAGCAAGCCGGATCCTTTGCCCAGCAGTTCAAGGCCACGAGGTTCTCTTACCACCTGGAGAGCGGGGCCGGCGGGCACCGAGCTGGTAAGGGGGGGCATCTTCTGCATTCAGGGGGAACCTGTGGGGGGTGATTTCTTTGTCAAGTGGGGGTGGGGACTGGGAGCCCGGACTCCTGGGTTCCCTCCCCAGCTGTGGGTGGGGGCTGGTGGGTCAGAGTGGGGGGGGGGCTGGGAGCCAGGACTCCTGGGTTCTCTCCCTGGCTCCGGGAAGGGAGTGGGGTCTAGGGGTGAGAGCAGGGGCAGCCGGGATTGACAATGCCAAACTTGGGTGCCTTGTGCTGCAGTTTTTGGTGACAGGTGACGTTCAGCCCCCGGGTTTTCGATATTTGTCTCTTCCCTTGGACTCTGCCCTGCCCCCACCCAGTCAGTCCTGCCTCTGGGCACAGGGCAGGAGAGCGGCTCCTTGCCCTGGACGGCTGGCGGTGGAAGGGTCCCAGGGTGCTGGGTGGGCAGCCCCTGGTCTGAGACCCTGTCTCATTGCTGGGGGAATGGCTCTATGACCCCCCTCCCCTCCCAGAGCGGGGAGAGAACCCAGGAGTCCGGGCTCCCAGCCTCACTCCCCCCTTGACCGAGATCAACCCCCTGTCATGCCAGGTGCTGCACAAATCCCCTGACTGATCAGGGCCTGACAATTCCTGCCCCAAAGACAGAGGTGGGAGGGGAAACTGAGTCACAGAGGAGTGCAAGGACTGGCCTAAGGGCAGGTTTACCAGGTCTGGAATAAAGACTCACGGGGGGGGGGGTGTCTGTGTCTGTCTGTGTCTGTGTCTGTGTCTGTGTGTGTCTGTGTCTGTCGGTCCCGCAGTGCGGACCCAGCGGGAGGGGATGAGCTCGGCGCAGGGTCTGTCTGGCTGCGGCGCCCTCCTCTTGCGACACGTTTCCAGCAAAACAAAACAACCACAATGTTGTTGTTCCCAAAGGGCTCAGCTGATTCGGGATAGAGAGACCCGTGATTGTTC